GCCTAACTTATGCTTTATCCCCAGCCTCCAATATGCACTGTTAAAAATTATTATAGGGACTTCCCTGGTGGTCCAGTGGTTATTTAAGACTCCAACTTCTACTGCAGGGGGTGTGGTTTGATCCCTGGTTGGGAAAATAGATCCTGTATGCCACAAATAAAAGATTCCCCATGATCAATAAAAAAAAAATCCTGTATGCTGCAACTAAGACCTGGTGCAGCCAAATAAATAAATAAACAGTAGAAACATGTGATTCTAGATTGAGGAGAAATCAGAGTTCACCAAGGCCTTTGCATTTATGACTCTCTCATTTCATTTAACTCTTTCTTCAAAGATACTTTTCTTGGTACTTCTTTTTTTGAGCATTGCATTTTAAATGGAACTAAGATCCCACATGCTGAGTGGTCTGGCCACCAAAAAAATGAATAGATAAAAAAGACAAACAGAAAAAAATTATTATAATAAATCCACCAAAATATAAACTGGGAAAATACATTTGCAACATATATAGCAAACTGTTAGGGCTGTAGTCCATGGGGTCACAAAGAGGAGAACATGACTGAAGCAACGTAGCACACACACACACAGAGCAATAACTTTATTACATAAAATCTCTTATAAATCAGTAAGAAAAATAGATGCAACTAATAGAAAGTGTACAGTGAATACAAGTAGACAATTCTCAAAAGCAAGAAGCTTAAATGCCAATAAACATGCTTAACTGTTAGGCAACAGTAAATATCATTATCAGCTTATCTGATTGGTAATGATTATAAAACATAATTAAATTCAGCAAGAATAATGGGGTGTAGAGAAATGAGCACACTTTCATAATTTTGGTGGAATTATGAACTGATATACTTCTGGAGGTTAATCAATCATCAGGTACCCAAAATTTTAAATTAAAGCTCCCTGACCCAGAAATTTCCCTTGCAGAAATTTATGCTAAGAATATAGACAAGTTCACAAAATTGTGCATACTGAGATACTAATAGTTAAATTGCTATAATAGCTCAAGTTGGAAACAATCTAAATTGCAGAGACTAAATAAATTGTGGTATATCCATATAATGGAATATTACATAGTCAGTATTTTTGCATTGAAAAGTGTTCCTAATCTATTGTTATTTTTAGAAAGCAGATTATAGAATAGCATTAAAATAAAAATCTGTGTAAAGAGAAAAGAGCTTATATAGGCGTGTAATGCGTGCATGCTAAGTCACTTCAGTCGTGTCCAACTCTGTGTGACCCTATGGACAGCAGCCCACCAGGCTCCTCTGTCCACGGGATTCTCTAGGCAAGAATACTGCAGTGGGTTGCCATTTCCTTCTCCAATAGATGTGTAAAAATCTGGAAAAATAAGAGAGATGAGATTGTGAGGGATTTTCACTTCATTGTTTTATTTGTAATTTTTTCAATACACAAGAATTATCAGGAGAATCAATATCCACTTCATATAATAAAAATAATTAAATATAAGGTAACAGAAAAGTAAACATCCTAAAAAAATTTTAATGAAACATGCCTTAAGGCAAAGATTGTAATTCCAAACTAGCTAAGAATATATGTGGCTCAGTTGGTAAAGAATTCACCTACAATATGGGAGACCTGGGTTCGATCCCTGGGTTGGGAAGATCCCCTGGAGAAGGGAAAGGCTACCCACTCCAGTATTCTAGCCTGGAGAATTCCATGGACTGAATAGCCCATGAGGTCACAAAGAGTCAGACACAACTGAGTGATTCATTTTCACTTTCTTTCATGGTGTAATGGATACTACATACTTTTTTACCTTTATGGAGTAGGGGTGGAATGGCCAATGGAATTAACAGAAAACTAGAATAGACAGCAATTACCATTACCATTGATTTTCTTCATTTTCTGTGAGCATGATCCACTTGGCAACATTTACTTCTGTAAGATTCAGGGTCTCTGTACTGCTCTTTATCAGACTTCCTTTCACTCCTGACTCAACAGATTTTTAGGTTCTGCTTTCTTTGAAAGCACAGGTTGCTGACAATATTGACAACATGGAAACACAGAAACACTAGGGGGAAAAAAGTGGATAGCTTGATTTATATTCTTAACTCTGTATGGGCTGGAAGACATTTAAAATATATTTTGCTATTTTATGTAAAATGATCTTATTATAATCATATCCTTTCCTTTAGTTTTTGTAGGTAACTCTGTTGTATTTATAGTGATTCCCCAAGAAAGAACTCCGTTCTCAAAATTTTGCAGATACCAACCATGCATGCTTGTATTCGATTTTGTTCTGACATAATGCCACCAAAATCTTGGTTAGATGACTGCCACTCTAGCTGAGTGGACATGCAGTTCTCCTTCTGTTCCACAGAGTAGGTAGACTTTGGGTTTGGTCAACCAGTGGTGTTTGTACACACCTTGTGAATTGAGGACTGGCTGGTCAGTCTCCATGCTGGGTGATAGGTCAGGGCAGGTAAGCTCTAGGGCTCTGGTTCTTGGTGTATGTTTGGACAGCCCATAAATGCAAACAAACATACTACTCCACCGGGTAGGTCATGGAGGCGGTGCAAGTGCCCTGCCGGATGTTTCTGTCATCCCTTGTCTAGGACTTTCATATATGCGACAGGCGCCCCCTAGTGAATAGAGGCACTTAAGTTGGCCTCGCTGTAAAAAAGAGGCTGGGGAAACCATCTGAAATGGTTTTAAGAATTTGACACTGTATTAAACAAGTAGAGATGCTGAGATTTTGCAAATGTGAAAGGAAAAGAGGGCAGGGATCTGTTCTCCAAATAAAGTATTTAGGATCTCACAATGCAGAAATAGTAGTCAATTTTCTGGATGAAATTCAAACTAATCTGAACCTTGCCAGACTATCAAAATAGAAGAGTAAATTGTCGATCACTATCCACTCCAGTATTCTTGCCTAGGAAATCCCATGGACAGAGAAGACTGGTGGGCTACAGTCCACTGGGTCACACAAGAGTCAGACGGGACTTAGCAACTAAAACAACAATCCACTCCCCAAACTTGACAGGATGTTTTATACATAGTGTATAGCTTCTAGAATTGGACAGATACACATAAATTTAGGTTGAGACTTGAGAACGCATATTTCAATCCAAAAACCTTTAGTCTGGCTTTTGATAAATTACATTTTGTTTGGTTAATTTCAAAAAAGAAAAAAGAGCATTTAATGAAGACTATGGTTGCTTCATGGGGTCGCAAAGAGTCGGACATGACTGAGCGACTGAACTGATGATTGCTTGTGCAGTACATCAGTTACTTTTAGTTATCTCTTCTTTTATTAAAATGTCTGCCACGTACAGTTCTTTTTATGTTCTGAAAAAATATATTATCATTTTGACATCATCATAAATACTTATTATTATTTATAGCACCGGGTTGGGTCTTCGAAAAGGAACCCAAAGTAATTCTTATCCTCCAGGATGCTTCCAATATAAAATAAAATCAAAGATCATATAGCAGGTCAACTGGAAAACAAATAAACAACTATGACAAAAGATAGTATTCAGATTATTTTAATACTGTCAAAGAGTATTTAACACTGCACTCAAAGGCCTGTATTTATTGATGAATCAATGGCCTTTAACCGAGCATCCTAAACCAACAATTGGTGAAAAGACTACACAAAAAGTAGGCGGCATGCTTAAATATCAAGTCGGGGAAAAGGTTATTGGACTATTCTCAAAGGTCTTGTTTGATGTCAGAAGCTAATTATGAACTGAGTGTAGTGTAGTTTTGCTACTTTTTAGAGGTTCACTTTTCAGGGGTAAGATTATCTTGTTGCCTCCTACCTTCTTCTTACCTAAACAATAAATAAACAAATAAACAACTCTTCCCTCTTTTGCCTAGATTGTCTTTTGTCTCCTGAGTAATCATCCTTTCAGATTCGCCACAACTCCTTCAGGTCTGAGCAGACTTCTCTAACTGTAAGGCCTCTCTAGGCCCTCTTTCTTCTAATGACCTCGTTTAACTATTATAACTTCATTTAACAATTACGCTGCTTTGATTACTCCCTGAATATTAAAAGTCTCTACCGAACAACAAACGCAAGCGTTTATTCAAATTGTTAACTTGTTAATGATTTAGCTCCCCAAAGTCCATTCTCCATCACCGTAGCTCAGAAGACAAATAACCTTTTTCTTATTTAGAAGGATAACTTCAGCATCTCCCTTATCGTGGTGACATCTGTGCAGGCTGAGGTGAAACAAACAAACAAACAAAAACCCAAGGGACATCGAAATGATTGACAGGTAAGGACCAAAGCACGTCGCCTAGCTCAGCCTTGCCCACAAGACGCCCATCCTCCCCGCGTCCTGTTTTCTAAGATGCATCCCGGGCGGATGCGAGGTCACCTGTGGGCAGGCGGAGGACTTCTCTGCAGCGGCCTAGAGGGAGAGGAAGGCGGGGAAGGGGCTGAGGATGCGGTGGGGCGGGTGACCGGGGAGGAAAGGGCGCGGGGAAGCCGGCGTGCGGGGGTCCCCGGACTAGGCGGCCGGAGCGGGTACCCGGGGCGCCTGCGCGGCCGCCGCCCCCGCCGCAGCATCCCTGCGCCGGGTCCCCGCGCGCGCGCGCGCGGGCGGGAGGAGGGGCGCGCCGGCCCCCCCGCCCCGCGCGGCCACGTGACGCCGGCCGAGGAGACTGGAGCGGCGGCGGCGGCGGCGCGCGGCGGCAGACTGGTGCAGCGCCCGGCGCGCGCGGCGGCATCTCCTCCACCTCCTCCACCTCCTCCTGCTTCTCCTTCCCTCCTCCTCCTCCCGGGAGCCTCGACGATCCCTTGCCCTCCACTCGGCTCCTCGCCGCCGCGTGCCCGCCGCCGCGGCGCCCCGAGGAAGAGGCGAGGACGCAGCTGCGGCGCCGCCGCCGCCGTTAGACGGGGGGACTCGCGGGGGAAGGGGGGGTCCCCCGGCCGCCGCCGCAGCCGCCGCCGAGTTCAGCCCTCCCGCGGGGTCTCAGCTTCCTCCTCGCGTCGCCGCCGGCGCCCGCTCTCGGCCGGGATGGGGCTCCTGGACTCGGAGCCGGGCAGCGTCCTGAACGCGGTGTCCACGGCGCTCAACGACACCGTGGAGTTCTACCGCTGGACCTTGTCCATCACAGGTAAAGCCGCCGCCTCGCCATCCTCGCCGTCCTCTCCATCCTCTCCATCCTCCCCCAGGGGACCTCGGCCTCGGCCCCGACTGCCCTCCTCCCCCAGCCCGGCGGCTGTTGGGGTGCTGCGGGGCCGAGGACCAGCGGGCGGGCGGGCGGGCACTGGTTAATCGGATCCGAACGTTAAGGCGCTCCCCTCCCCCGGCGCCCGCACGGTTTCCCTCTTGAGCTCTTTCCAGCGGGTCTCGCCAGGTTTCTCGGATGCAGGCGCTGCGATCGCAGCTGGCGCCTGGCGCAGGCCCGCCCCACCCTGTGGCCGCGCACCTGCCGGTCCCTGACCGTTCTCTTCGGCTCCGGGGTCTGCTGTAACCTTTAGGAACATTCCGTGATGGGGCTCGGGGGAGGGGACCAGGGCTCCGGGGTGGGGGTGGGGGGTCGCTGTCCTTTTGGGCTCCTGGTTGCCTTGACGCACCTGCCTGTAATTTTCTTGTCTGGCTTTTCCGTCCGCAACACCGTTTGGAAGGAAAAGTCGGAAGCCATTGTTCAGCTCCTTGAACCTGGGAGGGGGTTAGTTTCTGAGGCTTTTTCATCCACACGGAGGTTCCAAGTGATTCTCTGCGATGGCTTTGCGCAGTGCAGTGCGGTCAGGGGGAGGGGGAAAAGCTAAAACAACCGGGAGAGAAATGGGGAATCTGTGGGGGGGGGGGGGGGGTCTCTACAGCAGCACCTAGAGGTGGTCCCAGAAGCCTGCATGGGTACCATTTTCTTAAATTGGCCAACTTTTCTCTTTCGCCGTCGCAGTTTGACAGGGATGCTTAGTTAGCTGAGCTAGGCGGCTTTCCTGCCTAAGTGGAGGCAGTTGTTATACTTTACCATCTGTTTTCTTTATTTGCTTCAGTTACTTTTGGGTTTAGAGCGTTTACAAATTTTTGAAATAAAAAACGAGACCAACAGGATTTTAGAAGGGATCTTATGTTTTATCATTTGCCAGTCCTTTTGCAATATTGCCCTGCATGCCAACAGTGGAAGAGGTTTACATGACATGTTACCACCGTGCCTCCCTTCCCTAGAAATGGAAATATAGTCCTATAGTTTGGTGTCTGTTGTTAGGTTTGGTGTTTGTTGTTAGAGGCAGTGGTTGCAGCATGAATATATGGATATATGTTGTGGGAAAAACGTATTCTGAAATTATATCTATGGGAGACAAAACGATTCTTTGGCATTGCCTCGGTTTTAACTTGTTTAGCAAAGTTCTTTTTCAGAAGATGTTAAGTTTGACAGTGAGAAATAAGGGATTTAATTAGCTGTTGCACTTGAAAATGGTTAAAAAGCAGTTTTTAATGGAGTCATTCATTTTTAAAGTCTCCCTTCTATGTAGTGTCCATTGAGGTTTTGTGGTACCTACAAAAACTGGGAGAGATGTATCATTTCCTTCATCTCTGTGATTTTGGTAATTTAAACATTGCATCAGGGTTTCCCATTACACAATTGTGCAGAGCTGAACTTCAGGCAAACTGGTTGGCAGATAATTGCACTTTGCATATTTCAGACTCCAGACATTGTCAAGGTCCTCCAATCTCCATATAGCCAGCCACACCCAGGACTTCTCCTGCCTGCCTGTCTTCCCTCTCTCGGAGCTTTCCCACCTTTGGGAAAGCTCAGTTTCAGAACCTTTCTGTGATGGTCAGTTCCTTCCTAATGATGCTGGTATAAAGCAAAATCACAAATGAAGTGGGAAATTTCGTGCAGTTCCCTCATGTGAAAGCTTTCCGCTGGCCTGTGAAGGGCAAGTAAAATAGTATAATATTGTGGACCAAGCCTGAGAAATGAGAGTAGCTACCAGAAAGAAGTGACCTCTCACTAGCAGGTCAGAGGGAAGGTATTTGCCCATGCCCTGGCTATCCACTTACGAAACCTGAGACTGCTTCCTTGCTTTCTGTAATGAGCTACCTAGTGTAGGTAGATGGTATTTCTTAACCAACTTAGAGGCTTAGTGGGATATAGTCTGCTCTGCCTTGCTGCTGTGTAAGGAGGACTATTTCAGACTCAGGCAGAAGAGCTGGTCTGAACCCATTGCTGCCCCATTTCTTCGCACCCTGTCGCCACACCCCCGCTTCTGCGCTCTCCTGTCTTCGTCTGATTCACACAACTGATTCCAAGAGGCCCTTCTTCCTGTAATTTCATGAATATCTGGGTGAAGGAATTTCAAAGTAGAAAAGTAGCCTAGGAGATGAGGCTGAAGAAAAAGTTGATGAATCTGGAAGGAGGATAAGATAAAAGTGGGTAGAGAGAAAGATGGTCTTGAGAAAGAGTGATGAGTATGGTGAAAGGATGCACATCCTCCAGGGAGGGCAAGAGATGAACAAGGCTGCCTGCCCTGGAGTGCATTCATCCCCACGCAGTAGCTGTGGGCTTCTTGCTTTCTGTTCTATCAACTCATTAAATATTTCTCTCCCCAGAGTTGTCTGCCTAAGTGTAAAGTTAGTGTCAAGGTTTCTGCCTAGCTCTGTCTACCTTGGGCAGTCTAATAGGAATAGTTGTTACACATTTGGAGAGTACATTTGATGATTTCAAAGATTTTTGCCCTAGGGCGATGTCTAGAAAAATAATTTTTTTTTTGCTGTTATATTAAATGGTGGTATTTAATAACACATGTCCAAAGCAATGCATAAAAACCAGGCTTTTCAAAGACACATGTCTAGCAAATGTAGAATATGTCCCACAGTGTATGAACATGCAAAATGTTAATTTTACCATGTAATTAACACTGTATACCTTGGAACTGAAACTGTGAAAGAGCTGTACTCTTAGAAAACCTGCAAAAATAATTTTTGTCTATATTTTTAGGTATTTTGAACAAGTGAGTCTTAGTTTATAATATAAAGGAAAGTATAGACTGATACAGGACTTTTTTTTTTTTACAGGACTTTTTTAATAGCAGTTGGTGGCATGAGAGTAGATACTCTGATGTCATTGTGGTATTTTCCTCTGTTCTTTCACTTTATGAGTACATTAATATCATTGGACTGGGATCCTGGGCTCAAAGTGTATATCTACTCAAGAAAAATTGTATATACAATTTCAAAACTGATGAGTCAATATCCCCGACTTACAAATACCCTAATTGTCTGTATTTTCCATTGCATTTATTATTTTAGTAATTACTTATTAGTAGCATTTTGTGTAACTAACATTAACAAAGAAACATCTTAGAAAGTTAATTACCAGCATGTTCTCTCTAAGGCCAGTTGTCTCTGGAGGTTCCATATTTCTTTTTGACCACTGTTTGTTTGTAAACAGCCATCGTTCATGGAATATGTTTCCACATTGCTTGTGTTTTGGGCAGGGCACTGATCTATGTTCACTAGTATAGCACACTCTAGTTGGGTGAAAAATGAGTCGTCTACTTGGGAGTTGAGATCAGAGTGTGAAAGGCCAGTCTCTCTGACCTTCCCCTCACTTTGGAGTATCAGATGGGAGAAGAGGATGTGTGGTCCAAGAGGGTGGAGGACTCCTGTGGGGTGATGATGAAATCTGGAAGCGAGGCTTGTATAAACTTCCCTTCTTATCTCATCACTTGCCATGTGCTGGCACTGTTCTGGGCTCTGGGAGAGAATGAGGACAAGTGGTCACCACCCCAGGCAGCTTGTGAAGTCTGGGGGATGACGGCCATTCCACCTTCCTTGCTGTCGTGGTCTCAAAGCAGTGTGGTCAGAGTGAGGGTCAGGCCTCGCTGGAGCCTGGGGAAGGTCAGGAAACTCCTCGACTCTCCATGTCTCCACTTCCACTTGCCTGGCAGTCTTGAGTTGTGAGGGGAGTGTATGGCTCCGTCTTTAGAGTATTTAAGCTGTTTCACCATGTGAAATTGACATGGATGGTGTTGGAGAGTGTTTGATAGGTCGACCAAAAATGGCTGTCAAAACTAAAAGTCCATGGAAACTAGGAATGAGTTTTAAGTGCCAGTGAGTCAGCTTGGTGTGCTGAAACTTGATGGCTCACAGAAGGGGGTGTTTGACTCAGCTCAGATAGGCAAGGGTCTGTTTCACAGTTTCCTGGGCCCAAGAGGCGCATGGGTCTTAAACAGGCTATTCAGTTACACTGGGGCTTCCCAATGCAGGAGAAGCAAGAGACAAACACGGGTTCAATCCCTGGTCAGCAAGATCCCCTGGAGTAGGAAATGGCACCCCACTCCAGTATTCTTGCCTGGAAAATTCCTTGGGCAGAGGAGCCTGGCGGGCTACGGTCCACGGGGCCACAAAGAGCTGGGCACGATTGAGCGGAGCACAGCATTATTGCATTGATCTTGTTATTTGTCACAGTTAATGTATAGTTGTTTTTTTCAATCTACGTCATTATCTAAAATAGGTTTTCTGTTTGGACTAGCATGGGAACTCATAATTTTCAGTGTTTCTTTGAGAAAAGACATTCTAAGTTCTAGGCAGTGAAAGACAAATACATGTTCATCTTCTAACGCGGCGTCTCCCTTAGGCCGTGTTTTCAATGAAGTCCTCTGAAGTCCTCCTCTTACCTTCCTTTCACAGCCTCCCTGCAGCCTCCAGGAAGTCCATGAGGCTGTAGGGTTTTGTTTGTTTGTTTGGTCCTGGACTCTAATGTCTGATGCTCTTGTCCATTCCCCCAAAGTATCCAATCACAGATGGAATGCCAGGAGGGGAAAACAATGCATGCTCTAAAACTGGCATCGGGACACAATTTTACACAGCTAGATTCTTTGGCTTTGGGAAACAAGGTTTTACGAATTACATAGCTAATTAGCCTCCAACTAATAAAAATAAATGAAAAAAATTTAAAAAAATAAAAGTAAAAATGCAAGAAAAAAATTTAAAAAAAAGAATTACATAGATAATTATATCAGTGAGTGCTTTTGTGATCTTAAGAGCCACAAGAAGTTGATCATCCTTTTAAAATCCAGTGTTTTGTTTTTTTCGTTAAGTCCTGTGATAATGTCATTAGTGAATGATTTAATGTTAACCAAAGTATTATCTTTGATT